TTCCCCTGTTGCTCCAGTGCCTGCTGCCCAGCTCCTCGCCCCTGCTGATCCGGTGTCTGCTGCCCAGCTCCTCGCCTCTGCTGCTCAACCTTGAGGGACCTTCGCCCAATGTTTTCTCTGGTCTTAGTGATGGGGGTGTGCCCCTTGCAGCTGAGGGGCCTGGGGGTTTGGGCATCCGCTTTAGGTGGAGTGTTCATGAGCGTGAGCCCAGACCTGGTAGTGGTGATGTCCCGGGAGACGGGGGAGCTCCATCTGAGCTTTCCTGGTTTCCGGATGATGTCCCTGCGTTCTCCAAAGTGTGTGGTAACCTGATTGGGTGGCTGCTGCTTTGAAGGTATCCAGGAGGTTGGCTAAGAGTATTGACTGTCCTAGTGGCCCCCCATGCTACTCAGCGGTGGTATGCCCACGGCCTCCTGAGCTCCTCGGTGCAGGAGGGTATATGCTGCAGAACCCTAGTGCCGATGGCCTTTGTGTTGGGACGTTGGTTGGCTTGCACGGGCAGGTTGCTTGGGCGGCCGACCGGTTGATGCCGCTCCTTTAGGGCAGGTGCTGTCAGGCACCAGAGCACCTCCGGGTGGCACTGTGGAGCTGCAACCTGATCCTGCAGTTCCAGCGCTCGCCTGCAGGGGTCTGCCAGCAATTAGTCGCAACCTGGTGCTGCTCTGGGAGGATATTTAACCTCTCCCTGCTTTGAGGCCTGTGCCACAGTATTGTTGCCATACCCTGTTTCAGCCTTGGACCCTGACTCCTGACCCGTACCCCTGAGGTCCCCCGATCTGTGGCTCCCGGCCCTTTCCGTTTGTATATAGTGTGTTCCTTTGTTTCTTGCGGGTGGTGGTGGGATAGCCTGTGTTTATGTGGTTTGCTATATCTATTAAAACTATTATTTACAAAGATTGTTGGGGTATTTGAAGTGTGGTCACATTCAGTTCACCAGTATAGGTACCTGCACGTGGTGTTGGGACACCCGTGCTCCGTATCGTGACACCCCAACACCTGATACTGACCTGCCAGGGACCTCAAAAGGATCCCAACACCCGACACTGACCACCCTCACCACCCCAGCATGGACCCCAACTAGGGTTGCCACCTGTCTAGGATTCACCCGGACAGTCCGGGTTTTGAATGCTGTGTTCGGGTTTCATGGCAGCAGAAACCCGGACAGAAGATGTCAGGCAGACAGGGGCAACCAAAATTGATATAGGGGCTACTGGCCCCCCACTAAAAATAGTCTCAACTGTGATATTTACATATGAATAGGTGGCACAATTTACATATGAATAAGCTGTGACTCATTCTCCCCCAAAAATGTCAGTGAGTCGCTAGAGTGTTCGGGTTTTGCTTGAAGAAAAGGTGGCAACCCTAACCCCAACACCCAATAATGACCACTATCACTGACCCGCTGGGGACCTCAGAGAAACCTGCCACCCTAGCTGGCCCACTGGGGATACCCAACATTCTGCACTCACTAGAGATAATCACCCTGACAACAATAAACCATCTGATACCCCACCCTAGACTCCCACACTGCACACTGATAATACCATCTCTATGCCCCCTGTGAACCAATCTCTCCCCTCCCAGATGATCCTCCAATCTGCACCCGACCGACAGTCGCGGCCTTTAAACGCCCAGCAGTGAGTCCGAGACTGTGGGAGGAGCCCGAGGAGTGACAAGAATAGGGGACTTCTACCCCACCCACACACCGAAAGAGTCCGAGTGCACAAGTAAGGAATACAGAATGAGAGACCCCGCCTCTGCCCAGCCTTCTTCACGCCCCTTTCTACTGCAAGTTCTAAACCCACCACACATAGCAAAGAAACCAAACTCCGTCCCTACCGTGCAAATGACTGAAACCACGTCTCACCCTGCCCTCTCACTGCATGTAACTTCCCACTTGTATCCCACTATGCAGAAGAGTCCAACCAGGGATTTCCGTATAGTGTAGGGCCGGACCGGTGCAAGCATTTTTACTGCCCCCGGCGCCCTCAAGCGGCTGCCTGTGTCGCCTTACGGTTGCGCCGGCCCTGGTAATAAAGCAGAAGAGCACTGTGGTTGACACTCAATTTACTTTGCTGTGTAAAGGATTCTTTGCCCGCACCCACATTCAGTATATTTAGCAATACAAAAGGTGTTCTGCACTGGGCCCCGGAGACCTATTATCTCATGGTAGGAGCAATGTGAGACTCAAGGCTGTTTACACACATTTGCACTGTTTGTGCCCATTTACTGCATGTTAACAACTCTGTGTTTGTAGTATGTTTAGAACCATTTTTTAACAACTGTGGTCAACTGACCTGAATGGTAAAATGGAGGTTTATGTAAGATAAGTTAAACTAAGAATTTATCTCTTTTTGTACACTTATTAATGCCGCATGTGATGTGAAAAATAGTAGTTAACATAATACTGGTATTTTTTTATTGCATGCTCTGAGATACTTCCAATACAGAAAAAATATATATGGTGTGAACAAGCGCTAAAGCTAATATACCTGATGACTGCTGTCAAAACAGACACGATACTTTATTCTTTGTTTTGTACATCAGCTCAAATCTGATCACTTATGATACTTTTACACCAATATCTGATATTTCTATTGGTTTTAGGCTGTAGTTGGGTGTATGTAACTGAAGTGTATCTAACTTCAGTTACAGTATTTTCCATAATGCTGAAAACACCTGTTTTTTCAGTGTGTTTGAATCATGCTGTGGATATTTTTAGAATATCTCTTTGATAGAATGCTGGAGAACTAAACAATAAACGTCTGTGGAGACACTTTTACATTGCTTTTGAAATATGTTTTTTCTAGGGCTGGTAATGATTAAAATTTTCCTGTTCGATTAATCGATTTTTTTAAAATCGATGAATCGACTAATTTCGATTAATTATAACGCACAGATCCAACTACTTTTAGGTAATAGGGCGATTTCTGATTTCTTGTAAAACCACACAAAATGGATCTCTAAGCTGGAATAAAAGTGCTGGTCCAGTATCCACAAATGTATGGGATGCTGACTGGGAAGTAGATACACTTGTAGAAAAAAAAAAAACACCAAAAATATTGTCCTATCAATCATTATTGCATTGTAATTTGCACTGTTTTAGTTTACAATTGACCCCGTCAGTCACCCTAAAAAAAATAAAAATCATATTAGCACTTTCCTGCTATAGAAGAGGTAATATACTCATAATCCGGTGGCACTTGTCTCCATCCAAGCACTGCAGCCTCCATCAGGCTCATTAGCATTTGACACTTCTGGGTCCTCCTTCCCTTCGTTAGCCGTCACAGACAACGACGTCACCGGACTCCTCCGCCTTCCCTTCGTTAGCCGACAGAGCCACTTGGGGAAGGGGGGAGGAGTCCGGTGACGTTGATGTCCGTGACGTCACCGGATCTCCGACGGAAGACCCGGAAGCTGGCGGGGAGGTGAGTACCGATCAAAATAATTTTGATCGATCAAAAAAATTAACGATTAATCGAAGGATTAATCGTTAATTTCCGCAGCCCTAGTTTTTTCATGTGTATTTTTGTGTGCTTTGATCAAAGATCAAAAACATAAAAACATGTAAACTTATCGGTAATAAAACATAACTAAACACATTTAAACAGCAAATGAACACAACAAGGAATATCACAGAAATAGGGTATCTACATGGTTGTCTTTATGGTGCCTGTCACATGTTTTTGATACATAGCTATACCTAACCATTCTGCTACCTGGGGTGAAATTTAAAAAAGTGAACCCCCATCTTTCTAAAAGCATAAGTATATGTACTTATTTGTGCTGAAAAAACGTATTCACTAGAGTCAAGTGCCCACTCTCTGATAAATATTGTTAGGTTTGGTGAGGGCATCTGCCGCCCCGAGGCCGGGGCTCGGTGGCCTTGTGGGAAATCCGGGCCTGCATGCAATGCATGTTTTTAGACAAATAGGCCAGCAGTTTGTGGGAAATCTAGTCTGTTATCAGAGTGCAGTCATGTTACCAGAGGCTGCTACAAATTTCTACCATGTTACTGGAGAAATTGCAATGTCATTAAGGAGCCATTTGTTAAAAGCGACAGGCATGTTACCAGAGTCACTGTCATGTTAACAGAGAGAGAGTCACGAGAGCGGAATGTTGCTAGACACACTACTATGTTAAAATTAACTGGCATTTGAACTGAACATACGGTAATTGGGAATACTGCCAGTGGGGCCTATGTAGGATAAAGGCAAGAAAGCAGCCACACACTACAGGAGCTGGCATTATATTAAATAAAGCAGTAGTGATTGTCTCAAGAAATTACAGTAAAGTTAATCAAGTTTTCTGATCAACTGAGGTAAATAATAATTCCAACCCCAACCAATTTATACAGGAACATGATGACTATTCACTGATCTAGCTGATATTGGCCAATGTATTTAAAGCTGAACTCTTGTATTGCCTTCGGTTTTGAAAAATTGAAAATACTCTTCTGCTGTACTGAAATTGCTTACTCTGATTTATCTGCACACAGTGAGCTTCTTAGAGTATGCATTAGAAGCTTTAGCAAAGCATATAGAACCCATCTCATTTCCTGGCTGGAGGATATCCTGGATCATCTAGTCTTTCCACCCCCAGCCTCACTGTCTCTGGCCCACCCTATAGGATTTCAGTTTTTTCAATCATAGAGGTTCAACATCTCATGCACATGCAGTCGAACTAGAAACCCCCACTCCTCCAGACTGACATCCACTCACCAGCCAACATATATGTTTGCATTATATAAAAGCGTCAGTACCATGTTGATGAGGTGGAAGAGAGGAACTGGAGAAGGCAAAATATAAGCAGAATAAACTTAAGATTTAAAGATGGTTTATTATTGTTTATACAGCTAAGCTATGTGTATTTGTCAAGAAATAAGTAACACCTACCAGACCTTTCATTTTTTTCTATACATCATTTGATTTTTTTATGTGGTACATAAGTCAAACAACTTAAATGATATTGCACTAATCACATTAATTTTTTTCTTCTAGGTAAATCACTGCCTTTGAAAACCTCTATTCAACATCCTGTTTGATACTGTCACTGCAGCCATGAGCAGTCCCCTGTCACCAACAGACTATGACAGTTTGGAGATTCAGCAGCAATATAATGATATCAATAACCGATGGGATCTTGCAAATGATGATGACTGGGACAATGAAAACAGTTCTGCACGTCTCTTTGAAAGATCAAGAATCAAAGCACTAGCAGGTAAATAAATACATGCGGCTAATGTATGGAAACAAGTGGAAGTGTTGCCAACAGCCAGTGCCAACTTAAAGCTATCATGGGCCCCGGGTAGGATTCAAGCCATGTGCTCCCCTTACACAAGTGATACATTAACAAAATTATAATTTAAAAATGACTTGCTTGATGTAATAAAACAGACTATGTTCAGGCAATTGCAATACAAAATAAAAGCATTTCATAGCTGCATTGAAATGGGTATGCTCTTAAGACCTTGAACCAAGTACATTTTTCTTTTTGTAAAAGCTCTAAACAGCTTGCTGGTACGAAACATATAACAATTGTGCCCTGGGCTACTGTCCAATTTTTTAAAACATTATAATCATAGTAGCATAGATTGTAGAGGGCCCATGACTGTCTTCATTTTTTTCCACACATATAAGCATCTTCTCTTAAACTACTGCATATGTAAACCTTAACAATGAGGAAGAGGGGAACGCTCAGAGTTCAGCTATATGTACAGTATATCTACGAAATCAATGAAAAGACTATACACTCCTTTCAAATGCCGTATTTTTAATAAAAGTGATGGTGAATGTGATCTATTTTAAAAAGGCAATGCTGTGCTTGTCATTGAGAGGATTTAAGAATGGCGGAACATTACTCTTTGCCATGCAGTGCATCCAAAAGAGGAAAAAAATGCAGGTGAGTAAATATGTGCACAGCACACAGACAAAACACAAACTACTCTTATTGGTTCATTTTAGGTTTGTTAAATGCACAATTGAAAGCATTTTCTTATATCTGTTCCATAAGTGCAAAATATACCTATAATAAGGTCCGGTGTGCTCTGCCTGTGCTGACTGTTATCGGGTACATTGTTCACAGCTATCTCTGAGGATTACATAACCCCCTCTATGTTATGGAGAAGACATGATAAATAGGTGTTTATAGTCTTGTCCTGAGGGGACTGCTCCTTCATAAGCACAGTAGAAGTGAGTGAGCATTGTCACCCTAGGACAGGAAATATATTACCTGTAGGATCACCAGGTGAAAATAAAGAAAAAAAGAAAACGAAAGCAGCCACCACACCACAGGGACTGGTAAGCTGCAATTTTTTTTACATTTTTGTTTGTGGGTTTAGAACATACTTACCAACATTTCAATCCCACTCCTAGGACACAGTTAACCCTACCCAGAGTCCACTCATGCCAACCCAGTACTGGGCAGTCCTACCCACATACCGGAGTAGTCCGCCCAAACCCAGCCTTTAAATATGCAGAGATTACCCACTTGGGGCCTCTGGTGACCATAAAGAATGTCTCACTGAGTTACTGCACATGTGCAGTAACTCAAATAAGGGTGAAAACATGACCCCGCGACATCACGTGGGACACAGCATCACTAAGGTCTAAGCTGCTGGACTGTCCCGGCAAATCCAGATCAGTTGGCATCTATGGTTTGGGTACACTTTAAATTTCAAGCACCATGCTTCCACCTTTACATATACTTTATTTTTACAGAAGCCTCTACATATTGTGGTTAGGTCAACATTGGTAGGCGTGCATTGCAAATAAACATATAGAGAGAATGGAAGTTTCACACTCCAATGTCTTTTACATATTGTGGCTAGCTGCCATGTGGTTCATTTCATCTCTTGTGAAATTAGGCTATTGCAGTGAAAACTGCCCAAAGCATTCTTTGGCTAAATCCTGAAGGTACCCAAACACAAAATCAGTAGCATCCTAAAGGTACCCAAACACAAAATCAGTAGCATTGGAGAAGATTGTTCTATAGCAGCCTTGTGAAATGATATTCAGGCAAATATTTATACCTTAAAAATAGGTTTTATCATTAGTAGTTTGTTTACAAACCTGCTTTATTGCCTTCAAATGTATACATCACTGAAATCTTGCCCAAGTAATTAAAGGAGAACTATGGGGTTAAGGCTGTTCCCCATAGTTCTCAGGGTAACGGGAGGACACAAACTAGCGTCCTCCCGTCACCCTAGGCTCAGTATACCGCAAGCTGTAGCCCGCGGTATACTGTGACGCCGCAGTATACCGCCACAGCTGAAGCGGATCCCGGATCCCTATCTAGAGGCAGAGCCAGCTGTACCCACCCCCTCCCCCGTCCGTTCCGCCAGTCAGTGCTGGCGGATCGGAGCGGGAAGGGGGGAATCCAGCCCCTCCCCTATCACGGCAGAGAGCCGTGACAGGATCGAGAGGTGAGCGAACGCCGGTATGTGTTCGCTCACCTCCTGATCTACTAAGCCGACCTGTGACAGTCTCATTGTCACAGGTCGGCTAGAACTATGAGGTGAGTGAAAAGCACTCACCTCATAGTTCTCCTTTAATCAGGCTGTCGGCTCAAAAGTGGAAATGGGCCATGTATTACCACTTATACAGATATATTGGTGTAATAACTATACTGTATACAGTACGCTATAGAATACATAGAGTACTATATGATCCCCAGCTAACCCACAGTGGGATCTTCTTGGACATCAGTCATAATAGCCATTCCACTCAAAGCATTCACGAAAAATACCCCCTTGGTATGCCTATCAGTTTTGGTGGCCCTAGGTTATTATACCTGAATGAAGTGAAAACAGATTCATAAGACCTTGTTTATATTATATGTTGTCAAGCATTTTTGTCATTTACCTTTATGAGGAGCCTGAGATGATGAGAATAGCCTCTCTTAAATTTCTTGCCCAAGCATCTCTGGGTAGTGAGACAAGGAATTTGAGGGTAACAAGAGCATGATTGCCTAGAATGTGCAGTCTGTTGGCTGGAACTTGAAAATACTGAATGGAGTATGTGTGTAGCCAGAAGGATCACAAAGAAGCTCAGATCACAAGTGCAAATAAGGACAGGTCACAGGCTATGAGCTGATAACAGACAGACAACTAGGTACCAGGTCAGTGACAATATCGAAGTGAGAAAGAGGTGAAGGTCAGCAACACGCAGGTGGCAAGGTGTCAAATCAGTAAGCTGGGTCTTGGTCAGAGGTTCAGGGCAGCCTCACATAAGCAAACAATCATAGGTAGAAGTGCACAGTCCATAGATAGGTCAGATGAAAGCCAGGTTAATATTTAGGCCTAAATTTCCAGTTATAGGTTAAATTCACATAGAAACAACTGAAGACCTTTTAGTGGCTATAACGGGTGACAACCCTGGCAGGTGATGCAAGCTTACCCAAGGCACGGAGTCTAAGTGACAACTTGGTCTTCACCAGAGTGCCCCGTAATGAGTAATGGGCCGGTGACCCTAGGGCCCCGGGCTTCTTTGTTGCAAGCTGACTCTAGGTTGTAGCCCTCAGGATTGACAAACCAAGGGGTCTCAGGAGCAGGGTGGCTACACTGAGGAGACAGGATAAGGTCATATGGCAGGTCAATGTCCAGGCAGAGAACGGGGTAGGCAACAACCAAGAAAGTAGGAGAGGTCGATAGAGGCGACATGCCAAAAAGCAATTGGTGACCAAGCAGAGGTCAAGCCTGGCAGCAGGCCAGAGGGTAGTCAATGTCCAGGCAGAGGTCAAGGCTGCAGGCAGTGGGCAAGAGAATAACAGGTACGGGTAGAGTCGGCACTGTAACCAATGCCAATATCTAGCAGAGCTTTAAAAAGCTGTGCTGTGGTCAGTGTCACTAGCTAGTGTGCACATCTGCCTGCCCACACATTGTAAGAAACACACACAAACTCATGCAACTGTGCGTGGAAACGTGTAGCAAGTCGGGCCTCTATGCAGAGAACCTTTAAGCAGCACATGCACAGGTGCCCACACCAATATGTTAGTGCATAGGGCAGAAGACCTTCCTGAGAATGGCACAGTGTAGGAAAAATGTATTACATTGCAGTAGGTTGAAAAAAGTCATGCATGATGTGTACAAGAACTAGCCAGATTCAGAAAACAAGTATGTCCAGGCCAAAATGAAAAGGCAAAATCAAGATCAGTACAGGAGGTATCAGGGAAGTCCTCAATAAATCACAGGTCAGCAACTTAAACAAAATCTTATGGACAATGAGAGAAACTACTAATTGTTTAAAGTTTTCTCTAGGTCTGCCAGTGTGCTGAATTCTTATATGCATTATGAAAATGTGTCTATATGCATGAACTTGAGAAAACCCCACTAGACAGCATAAGTAGTTGTACATATGTATATCTAAAAGGATCGTACAAAACCAACCACAAGTATGAAACCCATGAAAATCTGAGCAGTGCTACATTCCCTATGCTCTCCCCCTATATTTATTCAATCTTTGAGTAACCCACACCAGTGTTGATTGGATGCCTGCTAATCACACTAAAGCCGTTAGATCTTACCACTTTCCTGTCAAAATGTGTGAGTCAAAAGTATATATGATTCTGCCGGGGTTATTGATCGCACTTTGTCAAAGTAAATGAGTAGCCTAGTGCAGTTTCGCAGTTGGGTTCCCCTGGATAGATTTTCAATCTTTGGTTGTTTTGCACCCAACTGATGAACTCCTCTAGTGGCTAGCTATTATTATTATTATTATTATAATACAGGATTTATATAGCGCCAACAGTTTGCGCATAAGACATTACAATTACAATACAATTCAAGACAAGATGGTATGGAGGGCCCTGCCTGTGAGTTCATTTAGGATGTAGAATAAGGTGACCAGATTTTTAAAATGAAATCCGGGGACATTTTTTTAGCTTCTGATAGGCTGTGCTATGAGTGTAGCGGGAGCTACGCAAAATGAGCAGTCGGCTTCCCCGCTACGTTAATAGCGTATTTTCTCAGAAGCTGCATACAGCGTACACCGGTTTAAATAGTAATCGGTGAACATTGTATGCAGCTTCACACACACACACTAAATTTTGCCCTACCCCTGACTAACCTGTCAAGTCGCTGGATACAGCACACACGCTGTATCCAGCTTTTGACATGTTCTGCTATTAGCATAGCAGGAAAGCTGGGGTCTCAGGTGGGCTGTGCAGGATATGGGCTCTGCAGGGTCTATGGTGGGCTCTGCAGGGTCTATGGAGGGCTCTGC